GAATGAGAGGAAGAGGAATTGTAAGAGGAAGGACTGATGCTGAGAGACAGGAAAAGACTATAAGCCTGATCCAATTAATTAACATAATTAGTGTCATTATTTTCCTCCTCTGATTTAAGGATTCAATACAGGAATCATGCTTACCCGTAAGAGTCTCAGATAAAAGTCTCCGGATACAAAAGGCAAGATGTTACACTGCTGTAAGTGTATTCCCATGGGAGCCCCCGGTGGTCCAGGGGAAAATTCACTGCACTGTCACTGCAGAGACCCGGGTTTGATTCCCGGTCGGGGCCCCTCCCCGGGCAGATGGAGCTCGTTAGCCCTTAAGGCAATCCATCTACGTCCTGAGGACCTCGCTGCCACCGTCCAAGCGTGCTTGGCCCCGGCAGATGAACCTCAGGATTAAAAGGGTGGGCTCAGTTCCGCGCACACTGTGTCTCACCTAAAAAATCCAATGCGCAGGCTGGAAGGTGGAAAGACCTTCCCCGGTTCTTCGTTCGCGAAGAAGACTGGCCATGTATTCCCATGGAGGTCCATCGATTTGAGTTAACTATGAACCCTGTGGATTCTTTCCTCTTCATTTATTCCTGGAAAACTCACCTGCCTCTCCTCTCAGCAGCTGCTTTGTGCTGCTTCTTTTACTAACATTTTGCAAAAAGTTACCTTTTTTCCTTTATTTCTGAGGAACTTGATCCAATATCAAATTACAAAGAGTACCGGCCACTGTCTGTATGCACAGTAACGAACATGAGCCGAAGGACAATCACCTGCATGCACAAATCTAAGTACAAATCAGTATGTGATATTACAAAAATAACTGAGCAGCTTTAATATAAAACAAACAAACAAGCAAACCCTCTCACAGGTCAACTTAAAAATATTTCAGAAGCTTTATAAAATTGCAAAGACAAACACATTTCAGGGAGTACTGGACTAGAAAGTTCATGTCAAAACAAAACATTTGATATTATGTCATGTTTTTACACTTTTTAAATAAAGATTTCAGATTTCTGAATGAAAGACTTCTCTAAGCAAAAGTTTGGATTAAAAAAAGGGGAATTAAAACAGGTAGACTCATTTGAATGTCTCAATATGAACTAACTGGTGCACACAAAAAACCAAAATTACAGTTCAAAACCTAGACCACTTTACAAAATATTTTAGCATCACCACATCAACATTTTTCAGTAAAATTAATTCAAGATGAAAATTTCTCTCCAATCTTGCCACAGACATCACAAATGCACTTCTACATACCAGCACAGCCAGTGTGCACCCTCTCACTCATGCAAGCAGGCTGAAGACAAGGACCCTGCTGTGTATCTGTTTTGGACTCCAGGGGGTGGGAGAGGAATGCTTTTGAAACTTCACTGGAGTGGGGCATCCTTTTCTCCAACTTTGATCTTATGGACTAATTAGAAACTGCGAAGCTATGCAATATGGACAGGAAGATGGATTTCTGCTATGGCTGATGACAAGACGTTGTCTTCAGCTCTAAAGAAACAGCATACATGGCTCGCTACCTGATTGTTTCCTTCTCCACCTTAGTCCTCCCTCCTGATACAGTTTACAAATCCCCAGTGTTTGTCTGCGTGTGACCCCTTAGTGTGGGATTTCCATATATCTCTCCTATCCTTCTCCATTGTATTTCAAAGGGTCTCAACTTTGTAATGTTTATGACTTAAAAAGAACTGTCATGCTCTTATTTCAAGGCACCTACCCAACCTTTGGCTTTCAGTGAAAGTCATGGTGCCTTGAATTGCATATCTGGACTGGGCATAGTATATGGAGATATGCTGTCATTTACACAGTAAAGGACTGTGGATCTAATTCCTAAGACAAATTTCAAGGATCCTTGGGTGCTGTCCTTCTTGGAACCATTTAAGTGAAACCACTACTATACCTATGTGCTACTTTAACTGGGCACAAGAAGAAGAAAATAAGAGAGAAGTTCTTCAATGAAGAAGCAAAAAAGAACACAGGGTCCCATCCCTTCCACTCTTGGCATGCTCTCCTCCAGACAAAGGGATACACAAAGCACTAAGGGTTTGTCTAAGTGAGATAGATGCACTGGTTTATTTAAAGTTGGCTTATGACAGAATGAGGTACTCCTATATCTTCATGTACATGTGGACTGATTGAACTTGAACCAGTTAATTCTCCCTCTACAAAACAGGCCAGCTCGGTTCTGAGAGGCAGATAAAACCAGGGAGAGAAACAAAACATCTGAGGCTTCTGAAAACTGTTTGTTAGACAGAGGCAAGCATCCAAGAATGGGGTATTCATCACTGCAATGCTGATATACCATTCCACAAACAAACAAACAAACAAACAGCTAGTTGTCTTACTCCTTAACTTGCCATCAACCTTCCTATTCTTCTATGCCCTAGGAAGTGTTCAACAAAACCCAAAACCATAACTATTCCTCAGGCTGAAATTAAATGTAAGTTACCCTTATCTGTGACAGCCCCACTACAAGTGTCAGAAAAGACCATAAAGCAAATCCTGACAAAATGCCTCTACTAATATTATCTCATCAACTGTGGTTATAGTCAACAGCTAAACTCTGAGCAATGACATAAGCATTACCGTATTTTTGGAAAGGTGTTTGAGGTTTGATCAGGATGTATGTTGTACTGTAATTTTGCAAATATTTTGCTTTCCACATTCAAAGGCAAGAGTATTACACCTGGCCAAGCACAACCCGCTTTCTCATAGAAGAGGAAAGGAGTGACCTCCCACCTTCATCAAGCTCAAGTAATAGAAAGAAAATCATCCAGTATGAAGGCTCAAAGTAATACTGGGGCTTAAAATAAAAAGAAAATTCTCCCAGATGTTAACCTGGTGTCTTTTACCACCTTCTTCCTAGCCATCTCCTGAGTCCTGGGGCTAGAGTGCAACCTCAGCCTCTAAATGATTGTGAAGTTGGTTTGACACTGAACAATGCACATCCACGCACTGAGTCCTTTCCTGGTTTTGTTACTGTTGGTTCTCTTGGGAGTTCTCTTTCTAAGTTTTTTTTTCTGTTGCTATTCTCTACAACTTTCTGAGTTTTCTCATAGTCTTAATTTTTGTACCAAGAGGAGTTCCAGAATTCTCCAGTGTTTTGGTGTGCCAAAAATTTTCAATGGATGGGAACTCTGAAATCATTCTTTCATAACAGAGCTCACTAGAAAGGCATATGCCAGCCAGTAAAACAAAAGAGAGAAAAGAGGACCTGCAAATTCCTTCATCACTAAGACCTTGGGCTTTCCAAATAAAGAAAATGTGAAGCCATCCCAAGAATACGCTCCAGGAAAAATTCCTCACTGGAAACACAAGTGGTTTTTAAAATAATTTCTGTAGAGCCTGAAAGCTGACCATAATAGCCCCTTGAGATAAGCAAACCCCACGTGAACTTTGTGACAGCAGCTACACAGTTAAATGCTCATGCATCCAAGTCTCTCCCTGGGTGATAGAGATTATTTTTGGCAGAAGATGGGACAGAGATTGTAAAATGTACGTTTATTTTCATTTAGCTCTTTACTTGTTCACTCTGAAACACACCCTTTTTTTACCTCTTTCCTAATACAGTCATGCTTCATATCACAAACTTGGATATAGAGCAAACATAAATATATATATTCCTTACATTAACCTTACTTGCATGTTGAAAGTCATTCCACTAAAAACTTTGGGATGATATTTTTTAGTTCCTGATGAGACCACATGCCATGAAAACTGAGGCTATGGGGACATACATGCAAGCTCTGCTTGCATGAGGTACCCTTGTCCTGGGACCCTTTGAGAGTAGTGCAACTTCTGTCGTCCCAATAGGAATAACAGGCCAGAAGAAGGTTGCAATTAAAAACTCTGTGCTATGCCTTGGCATACAACTATAAATAGAAATAATTTATGAAACCTGCTTAAAGGCTGATGTCCCAGTGTGTCTTCATATAAAAGTAAATATATACAAGTTCATCATTTAGCCAGAGAGAGAATTTCACTGCACTAGCAGGAGCTAGCTGGAGTGCCCAACAACCTGTTTGCCTTCCTCCTTTCCTGCCTGGAAGTTATATTATTTGTTACACTGAGAAATACAGAAGTGTCTCCTGATCTTTGTCTAAGGGTCTAGTTATAGTCCCTCTCGCTGCACTGGGTGTGCTACCATAACTGCAGCTCTCTGAAAAGTTCAGCATGTCCTGATACAGGCTTTTCTCTCCTGATTTTCATAACGAGTTTGCTTGCCACTGTGCACATATAGTGAATGTGTCCCATTCCTACCTTCTTCTCCCATCATTGCTTGTGTGCATGCTGCCACCTCACAACTTCTCTCCTTTTACTGCAGCTTCCCTCCTATTATCTCTCTGCTCTCTTGCTGTTCTTTCATTCCCCTTGCTGTGTTTCAGAACCAAAGCTGACAGTGACAAACAGAGCAGCACAAAGATTCTTTCAAAACTCAGCCTGAGTACCACTTTCTAGCTGGGAATCCTCCCAATCCCTTCTTCTCCCCTTATCTCTGTCCCTCATCTTTCCCCTTACACAAAGCATCCTCTCCAAACTACGCATTTTCCTGTAAGCGACCTTCACTGCTCTGGAGCTTTACTTTCACCCACCTTTCAAAAATTGTTCCAAAGGAAACCATTCAGTAATCAGAGAAGCAAAATAGTCCTGGGTTATAACTGTTAGTTTCATGCTGAACCCTTGTACAATGACATTGTCTGCTTCCAGCCTCGGACCCTCAACAGCAGCTACCTTTCTAAAACTACAGATCACCTATTCATTTCAGTGAACAAAATTTACTTAGAATCAATAACCATCAAGATTTGTCTTCCCACTTAATATATGTTTCATGCTGGTACTTTCTCTTCCCATCCACCTTTTTCCCCCCACCGTTCTGAAAATAATGCTTTTCTGGTTTAAAAGCAAAAGGGAAGTGGCAATGAAATAAGTCTGAGTCTCTGGGTATAAGAGGGACTTTGCATCATAAGGAGATGATGGGAAGAAAATAAGTTACTTACCCACTGTGGTAACACACAGCACCAGCTGTGGGAGCCGCTCCATGGCTCTGCGGGGTGTGGGCAGGTCCCAGCCGGGTGCGCGGCTCTGGTGGGGACGTGCCAGGCTCTTCCTGCGGGCTCTGCTGGAGCTCTGAGACCGGGCTCGGGCTCGGGCTCCTGCTGCCTTGGCGGAGAATTCCCACCTCCTGCTCGTATGGGTCCTAGAGCCACCCTCCCTTCCTTCCCTCCTCCTCCCGTTTTGCATACCGCTCCTGCACGATCAGCAAATCCAGAAGGCAGTTGCTTCAGACATGAGCATATCCATCTACAATTTTTTTGAGGCATTAGCATTCACTAGAAAAAGCTGAATTCAGCATTTTACTGGGTTGTTCCTCCTCCTCAGTATTCCCTCGCAGCAGGCTCAATAACACACACTGTCTGGACCAAACTCAGCTTGTATTTAAGATGATAGAGATGATCCTCTTGGCCTGAAAGACCGTTCATTAATTACCCTGAAAGAAAATTTACACAACCTAGATACCCACTCTTCTACCTTTCACTTCACTTATACCCACTTAACTCCTGCACAAGACAGCCTCAGTTGGAGAGACATGCAGTGAGGACCTGGAGCACAGGAAAGCTTAGGTATTCCACCTGCAAGCTAGTGCATTCATTCTTCAATCACTTTCCTTGTTAAACTCTTTTTTCTTCTGGTTCATCAGCCCTTCAATTACTGTATTCACTCTGCTTTCAATTTGTTTGCATGTGTTTTTTTTCTTGATAGAGAGTTTATTCTAAAATTGCTATTTAGTTTATTGCTAAATTTGTTATTCTTTTTAATAATCAGAATACTTTCTTTCTGATTGATTCTTCATGTGGATACCCTTACTCTAAATTAGGAGTGCTTTGGTCCAAATTAGCATAATTTATTCTGGCTGTTGTGCATTTATTACTCAGGTAGTACCTGAGTCTTTATTACAGTACCATTCACGATGCAGGCACTGGAGAGATTTGGAGCTGACATAAATTAGAACTCCAATAGGTCTGGTGTGTCTGGCACTTTTAAGGCAAAAGCCTGAATTCTATTTTTAATTGTCATTCACAGATTAGACTAAAAATTTAATTAATTTATTTAACCTTCTGTGAATCTTCCACTGACACCTATGAGAAGCACGCACTGCTCAAGGGTAGAATTTGCTTTTGCACCATAACCATATATTTGGATCTATGAATTTGCTCTTTGTTTAGCAACAATTACTATTTTCAAATGATTTACAGGGGCTAATTTTTGAATACAACCTGGATGATTTGGAAGTAAACATCATTCTGAGGTTTTCCTCTATGGCCACATCAATTACAAAAGTGTGGTAGCAAGAAAGACAGACAGTATTGGTTGCTTATCAATTAAATTTATATAAACTGTCCCCCAAGCAAAGTAATAGACTAAGACGAGGAAAAAAAATAAAAAAAAATTTTAAAATGCTGCCAGCTTTCCATCACTTCATAAATAACTTTCTTGGCTGAGGCTCTGGGATTGCAAAGCAGGTAATTTTTTTTACTCAAACTGGTAAAAAGTAGAGACACCTCAGGAATTTCCACGCTTATCTAAACCCTCATATGAACAGAAATGTAAATAATCTGTATGTGCAAGGAACTGGCACCAGCAGAGACAAATGAAATAAGACTGTTTCTGATAATACTCAGTTTTAAAGATATTCGTATTTTCCATGGTTTTCAGTTAGTGTCACAAAGACAGATGAATTCTAATTCTCATTACAGAAATGTGAGGCATTCTAAAAAAAAAAAGAGATAGGTGCATGTGTTGCTTTTAAGCAGAGAGTAAAAGCTGAGGAGAAGGTGACTAATCTCCGACCAACTGTCTCATTGGACAGTTTTGAAAGATTGAGTCCTGGCTCAGGAGAGTTGACCATGGCCTACTAGAAGGTCCATAGTTAATCCTTGGCAAGATAATGCACATCAGTCAAGCAAAGAATGTTACCCAGTCCAAACAAACAACTTTTTTAGGGAATCAAAGATTTTAAAGATACATGAAAAAACAAGAGTTTCACAATGAAAAACATAAGAATATACTCAGAGTATGAAAACAACAGAAGACAGAATAATGCCCATCATTTGGAAATAGGGGCAGGTACTACAAGCAAGTGCCACTCACCAACAGTTTGTAAGTGATGCAGGAGCATGCTCAACAACAAGAGAATGGCAGCAACACCACTAATGCAGAGGAAACCTCTGTAGATGTAATTAGGAGCAATGGACAATGTTGCATCATCAGAGAACAGAACTGTTAGTCCAGAAGCAATTCTGACAATTATAAGCTTTTAAACTCTGTGCTTATGGACAAGCTAGAGCACTGCCAGAATCTGGATACTAGCAACTGAAAATAAATGATCTTAAATAATGATAGCATTTTTGGCTGAGGAACACAGGAACAACATGCTGGAGTTCAGGAGAAGGAAGCAGATTTGCTTATTCTATTCTTACAGTATTCTGAGGGCCTCCATTGTTGCAAACACAACACAGAGGGCTGCAGAGAACTTTGATCTAACTCTGTAACATCTCAAAAACATTTGGAATGAGATTGAAAGACAAGGTCCGACCATGCTACCAAGAAAATGCCTCAGAACTGAAGGGAGATGAGACACTTCGCCACAAAGCAAGCAGAACTCCGGCAGTGAGGGTCTAGTCACTGCCAGAAAAAAAACTGGAGTTTTCACTTACAGGTACATTCAGGGGACAAAAATTATAAACAGTGGGAAATATTTCTCACATACAAGAAGAAAGCGTTGTTGTGATGATTGACTGCAAATGCATTTCCAAGTGGGACACAGGCAATGCAAATGTTCACCTAGCTCCCACACTGTCTCTGAAAGATACTGTTCTCTTTTGGACTGCACACAGCACAGAAAGATAAAGCACATTTTTTTATAGAATATCCAGTAAAACATCTGTAAAATGACATTTTGATCTAAGAAAAATATGAGAAAAATGCAGCCAGAGATCTCATAAACCTTTCACGAAAAACAAGATATAGGGCAAAAGCTAAACAAATATTCCTTGTGATGGAGATAAGATCCAGCAGAGCAAGGTGAATGTAGTGAGATGATAGAGTCTGGACACACTAAGATGAATGAGTACAGACTTGTTTGCAATATAAGGTATGTAAAGAAATTTGTGCTCGGTCAATCCGCCTCGGCATCCTGAATGCTGCTCTACAAAGTTGGTTAACAGACATAGGATTTGACTGCTACAAAAACATTTGGAAATCTGAAGACCTTAACCAAAGATGTCTCGGTCACCAAGATGGTATCTAAGCACAAAACTAGGTTGCCATTGGATTCTTCTACTGAGAATATTGATAATTTTTCAAAGTTCTATAGTCAAACTTTGAGAGCAGTCACTTATTCATAAAGCAAATTAGTATATATAAATAAAGAAAGAAGCTTTGGCTTTACTCCATAGCCATTAAAGCTTCATGTCTTCATGCATGGAAGAACCATGTGAGCTAAAGCTAATCATAAAATTCTTTACAGCCTAAGGGACCTGGAAATTCTCAGGCTAACCTTTCCCACAAGCAAAAAGGCTACGAAAGTATTTTGGTTTCAAATATATGGTTTCAGTGTTCCATAAAAACTAAGCAATATCTGATGATGGTTAGACACATGGTCTCTGGAGTACTTTACAAAGGAGCTATGAAGAAAAAATATCCAGAACTATATTTTATATCTGTTGCACACACAAGCTCTTTAAGAAAATGTTTCTATCTGGTATCAGACAAAATGTGAACTTTGATTGCTGCAGACATTGCTGAGGGCAAGCCCCTACAAAAAATAAGTGGGGCCAGTGCCACAGATAAGACTAGTTACACCAAATGGAGTGTAATTGCTAATAGCCAGGCTTTACCCCTTAAAATTATAATAGGTAGAAAACGGTTAAATTTAATTGTTAAGTGGGACTTGGCTTCTATGCAAACAAAATCCTCAAACATCAGAGAAAAAAAGTGTTTAAAAGGACATGCACAGAATCATTACAGATTTAAAATCTAAAAGTAGGACCAATGATATTTTACACCAGCATCATATAAGAAGCAATTTGAGGAAATTATTGTGATGCTTGTGGCATAGGGCAGAAAGAGAGGTAAACATGTAGGTGTGTAAGGAGGGGAAAAAATTATAATGCCCTAGAGCCAAGTAGGTACTTACCACTGCTGCTGGAAGCAAACAAACCTATTTATGTCCTAGACTATCAGATTCATACCTATGTACAAGAAAATATATCTAAGAAGTCATTTGTGCATGTCAGTACTACCCTTGTTGCATTTTAAAGTACCTGCATTAGTGATGTCTGACAGCAGGACACCTTTAATGAACATGAGATTTAGCAGTTTGCAGCAAAGTACATACGAGGCATGTCACTACAAGTCCCCATTATTTCCAGTACAACAGGTCAGTAGAAAGCAGTGTCAAAATAATAAAGCACCTACTAATGAAAAATGATAGAGGCCATACTCAGCCCTGTTAAATCAGAGCATGGCACCAGCAAACCATGGCTTGTCATTTGCTGATATTTCATTCAATGGAAAATTGAATACGAGAGTGCCTGTGCTACTAGAAATGGATTTCAAGAGCCCTTGGGGACTTGCAGCTATCTGAGGAGAGAGCTGAGTTAAAACAGCAATCCAAAAATGACTTGGAGTACCTGGAGCTCCTGCCATTTGCCCAAGACAGAAAACTCGTAACTGTGAAAGCAAAACAGCAGAATGGAAGCCAAGACATTTCAAAAGTCACAAGAGTGTGTCACACAAGAAAAGCCACCCTGTGAGTCAGTTGCTGTGTAACATTCCCAGGAAATTGTACTTTCTGAAGAAGCTGCTGTGTACAATCAGAATTAGTGACCTCATCTGACAACATATATGACCACAACTTACTAAGAGCCTATGGATGCAAAAGCATTTTTCTTTCAATAGAGCCCTACGCTCACAGACACCTGAATGACTCACAATTTCTTACTGAGAACCTGGATTTAAATCCCAAATCATCCCCCACAGTAGTGACTGGACCAT